GTGAGGGTTCTTGAAGACACCAACTCCGCCTTTTAGGAAATCATCACGAGTTATACTTGCTTCGGTAACAACTCCCTCGAATTCAACTTCTTTACTTGGAATATACACTCGATATTCCAACAAAAACAGCTCAAATACAACAATTTTGTTTGCCTGCACCAGAGGCATTCATCGCCTCAGAAGAAGGAAAATCCAGCAGAGAATCATCGTCGAAGAGTGAGATCAACCCGGCGTCATCTAAAACCGAGATGGGAAATGACAGGTGGGCGGGAACACACGGCCTCCCAGTGTTAGTGAGTTCTTTGCCGTTAATGTTTACGAAAAGTTAACTATTTTGCCATACAGAAATCCAAAATAAAAAATTTTATCTGCGGATTTGGACAGTTTTTGACCTGTTTCATACGACCGGAAGGTGTATGCTGGTCACAAGTGCCGTGCCAAACTGATTTCCTACACAATTAATCAATCTTCAATGTGAATTTCGCTATTAAACACGAGGAGCATTTCTAATAGCAAAACTTGCCATAACAAAATGGGCATAGTTCATTTTAGCAAACAAACTAACACTTCTTCCGACTGTGTCACCTCTCTTACTCGCCTAGGTCGCTGGCTGCATGAAGCACTCAAAATGGATTACTGTGAAGGCCCAAACGCAATGTGGGCGGAAGCGGAACGGAAACGGAAAGTTTGACAGATGTCACAAATGACATCAAGATGTCTAACTGAAGTCAATTTGATACTAACTAGCTTTCAATCCGACAAATACGCTTACTCAGATCGGGCTTTTCCGCTGCCGCTGCCGTTCCGCTTCCGCTGTCATTGCGCTTGGGCCTTGAATGGAGTGAAAACAAACTTAACCCGCGTTGGCCGAACGCTCGACTGAGAGTGAAAATAACAAAAAATCTCGATAAATTTTTCAAAGGGACGTATCAGCTTTTGTAAACAGTGCATTTGATCGTCGATTTGGCGTAACTGGTAGCTCGCCCACGCATGCTAACACTACTATCACTTATTTTGCGCTATTTTTTCTCAGTGTGCCTCGCGTGTGCCACAGCCGAGTGATGTAATTTGATTTACTATCCCAACTAACAATTTTCACAATATAAACGCTTTGCTCATTTCACATTTATACAGCCTCAAGCTGTATGCAAATGCTATTTCTCTATGCAATGATGAAATTCCCTGAAAATTGTATTTTCAGGAAAAATGAAGTTCCCTGTGAATTCCAGGTTTTCCAGGTTTTTTCATGCAGCAGACACCCGGTCATATCACCTTGTACCAGTTGGAACTATTAAGATATGTCACTCATTGCACTTTTGCACCTCAATTTTTTACTGTGGAAGTGCATCTAGAACACTAAATTAAGAGCACGTTATGATCTAATATGCGATAAGCAATAAGCTTGAAATGCGACGACGGAGATGAAGGGGAAAATATCCTTTACCCGATTGTTTTTTAGGTTTACGAACATAGGTTTCGGTTCGCGAGAAAATGGCCTTACAGGGTTTTTTAACAAAATTGAGTCGAGGCCTTTTCAATTGTTGGTCTTGAATTTTTCATGGATCATTTATTAGTTTCTATATGCAAAAATATGTTTGATTTAGAACTATAGAACACCTGTCTTAAACACACCCTGGCCTATAAATAACGACGTGACGGTTGTAAATAACCTGGGTGTTGCGGAGGCGGACCTCAAAATCGAACCATTCCGAGCTGTCAATTCTAAGGGTATACTAGGGCGGTCAAATCTCATACCTTAAGGTTAAACTCAACATGCATTCAGTTTTGATGTTCTGGTTCTATGGAATATGACGTTATGGTACAGAGTCTGATAGCTCGTTTCACCAAGCGTTGCTATGCAAAACATTTCTAAGTATTTGACAGAAAGTGGACCTATGGGCCTATAGTGTTTACGATTCGGACTTAGAAATATATCACAAAATGTTCCAATGACAGTCTGATCTGAAATGATTGACTGTGATGGTTCTTAATCAGAACAGAGTTTTTAACGAGTTGGCTGATTAATTACGATTAATACGAGTCAACGGAATGTGGATTTTAACATTCCGTTGTATTAGGATCATGATGTCATGGCAGTAAAAGTGGTGTACTGAACTACTTCTGCAATTTCTTTTTCCTTGATTTGTTTTCCGTCGATCTTGTTTTCCGTGCACCAATGCTACCGACGCCAGGAAGGCAGCTCCCACACCTGGACCCTACCTATCGACCCATCAACTCATGTTATGCCTGAGTACATCCCGGCGGCGCCGACTGAGAATGAACCCAGGCCTGCTGGGGTGAGAGGTAATCACGCTTACCACTACACCACCGGCGGCGCTATCTTCTGCAAAATATGCTAACTTCCATAACATACTTACCGCTTGAGGATAGCCCTTAATGATGTGATTGGGTGGATCTGAGGGCAACTCGGACGTCTCATTGTATATCATCTCTCGAACCTACACACTTAGAAAAATTCATGTAAATTTATGTGCCCTGAGACTGACATTTTGACATAAAATTTAGTCATAATAGACGCGCAATTAAGCTCAATCAAACGTACTTTTCGTCGGGTACCGAACTTTTCAGTCTCGGAGCCTCTCATTTTACATGACATGTTTGTTTACGTCTCATCCTTTATGTCAAAGATGGATTCCATCACGCGTAAAATTAGATATTTCTAAGTGTGTAGTTAAAATATGCGTGTAGAGATTTCAAAGGCGTGTATTGGCCATCTGATTCAGTTTTAGTGACCTGCTTGGATGCTTGCTGGTACGAAGCAAACTATTTCATCGACCGGAGCTGCACTGGAAACGAAAACTGGAAGGACTCCGTTAATCTTTTCCGCAAGGACAATACAACTTCCAGATGCTCTGAGTTAAAGCACACACTTAGAAATAACTAATTTTACACGTGATGGAATCCATCTTTGACATAAAAGATGAGACGTAAACAAACATGTCATGTAATATTAAGTGCTCCGAAACTGAAAAGTTCGATACTCGACGAAAAGTACGTTTGATTGAGTTGAATTTCGCGTCTGTTATGACTCAATTCTGTGTCAAAATTGACGCTCGTATATGTCACTCTCATAGCACCTAAATTTACACGACTGTTTCTAAGTGTGCATGGTATTGCTAAGCAGGATCTGGCGTGATAGATTCCCGGTTAGGACCAGAACATATTTTAAGTTGTAAATATTAAATAGCAATCCTTTACCTCCCCGATGACCGTAAAGACGTTGCCAGCACCGTTATTGACCATGAAAGCATGCTTGGCATACACAGTTTTGGACACGAACTGCTCATTTGCTAATAACTTTGCACACAGTTGACGAAACATAGTTCTGTTTATAGCAGTAGATAGAATAGAGTTTATGCTGGCTTAGATATGTAAAAAAAAGTAGATTTTAATTCTAGTAATAAACTGTATTGGTTTTTGCGTCGTAAAAATGAAGTAAGAAATGCTCGCTGCACATCTTGGGCTTTAAGTGTAAAAATGTATTGGTGTTTATTCAAATGTTAAGAATTACCTACTTTATGCATATTTATAGTAAACTATGATCCTACTCTATCAATGAGTTTAAATAAAAACAAATTTTAACAACTGAGTGACAGTTGGTGTGTACAACTGTGCCTGCCAAGCATGCTTGGAAGGAATGAACCTAATTTTTCACACTGATAATGAATTGCAAACTCAAGCCCCATCCATATGGTTGCTACTCTGTGATTGACCAAATCAAGCAAAATTTGCACATTGAACCTTGCTTGAGTTTGCAATATACGATATACACATGCTCATGCTATGCTCAAACATTTTACAGCAGATCGAATTAAGAAAATACAATTGGAAATTTTAGTTATGAGTCTGAGGATTGATCCCAAAATAAATATGTATATACCTATGTATATGAATTTTTTGTTCATCTAAAAAGTTTTATAGGATCAAACTGAAGGATACATCAGGAATATATGGATTCCATGTTTCAAACGCGTGTTCAGTAATAGGCATTAAATGAATAGAAATATTCCAGTGTGTGCCAGTGTGAAAATTATTCAAGTTCTCTTCGAATCTTTCTATTAATAAAGCGACATAATACGCTGAATGTAAGCCACATTTTTCTTAAATCATCAAAACTGTTTCTCAAACTATTTTCTTCTAAAATAAAAAAAAAATATTCTTTAAGCTTATCCCTTCACTTTTAACAATTAACGAATGCAAAAAAAAACAACCAAAAAGTCATGATTTGGCTTTACGCAAAATGCTCGAGTTCATACGAAGTGTTAGAATTTTTAAGCACAGCTTTTAAATTGAGTATAACTTCTGTATTAAAAGTCTTTCGCTGAAATTCTGGATGGATAAAGCCGCGCGCGTCTACTAGCATGATTTAAGGTTGATTCAAATATTAAACTGCTGCCATCCCACGCAACTGATCAATCGGAAAACATCGACCATTGAGCTTTGCCGGTTAAATACTCTGAATCCACATAGCGCGTGCTGATAACAATCACTCATTCTACTCTGCCAATCAACTTGCCCACAAACCCATCTCTCCAAGCGTAATAATCGTGTGAAGAGTTTTATATTTTTCACACCATCTTGATAGAGCAACCGCGATGACGGAGCATAAATCCCCTCTTCCGCAAACTGCATTCCGTTCAACCAAACAAGCAAAATAGCCTCTGTCCATGATGATGATGATCATGATGATGATGGTAGTGGCTGTTACTCACATCTGTTGCGTTCGCTCGATGAGAGATGCTAACTCAAAAGCAAAAAGAGTGCACTTCAATCGTTACGTCGCGCACCCCACAGCGGTCACAACATGTGATTACAATTAACCGAAGTGCGATATGCCACAGCAGAAAGGGCATGATTCACTTAATCGCTCAAAATTTAATTAAGCCATCGCCCGCGACTGATCGTTTGATTAATTGGAAACAGTAAAAAGTAATTTATCATCTGACTCCCTTTCTTTTTTTTTTCTTTTTCGTCCGCAGCGCTGGAATTCACAGTCGAGCCCTCGGACATGACGGTGCCGGAGGGAAACTCGGTCCTGCTGCAGTGTGCCGGTCGCGTGGATCCCAAAGTGCTCCGGGAGGGAAAGGTGGCACCGAACATTCGGTGGCGTGGCCCAGATGGGCAGGACATCGGCATCGTGGGAGACACATTCCGCTCGCAGCTGACCAACGGATCGCTGTACATCAGCACGGTGGAGAGCAACCGGGGGCTGACGGGGTTCTATCACTGTTTGCTCTCGGTCGACGGGATCGGGACGATCGTGAGCCGATCGGCCCGGGTGGCCATTGCTGGTGAGTACTCAAGTTAAAATGTTCGCACATGGGGTAGGTGTACAGTGTATCTCGAAATTGAGCGTGCAGCTGTCCGTACATTTCAGAAAAAAAACAGCTGTACGAGCACAGCTTAAAAAGATAGGTTTCTAAATTTTTGCCTGCTGGCTCATCAACTATTTATGGGTTATCGGTATAGTATTGGGCTTATTTGGAAGAGTGTGTAAGAAGTTAAAGCTATTTTAGAAAAACTAGATTTCCTATAAAAACAAATTTTCTTGAAATACAATGAGCCAAACATATTGAAATTTTGCTAATTGGTAGTCATAATAGAGTTCTTTAAAATGCCGCTAATTTTACTATAATCCGCCTACTAAGAAAAAAGTTGAAAATTGACCGTTTTACTGAAATTACTCAAACTTTTAACATACTCTGCCAAGAAAGTCCAAAGCTATACTGATAAATCAATAAATAGTTGTTCATCCACTAGCCAAGATTTAAAAAAAAAAATCTATCTACTCACAGTCTTTCAAAAAATTGCCCATTCAGGTATTCGCTAAATTTTGAGATACACTGTATATATGATCATTAGACCGATGCAAATTTTTTAACTTTCGCTACACGGTGCTGAATGGGTTCCAAATTTGATTCTGATAAGCGTGTGTGTGTCATCCTCTATCCTCACCCAGCCGGGGGCGTTGGACAAGTAGAACTGCGAATAATTTGATCAAATCTCATGCTCCGTAATGGTGCCCTTTATGTTGTGAAGACTAGCACTTCAAAAAGGGTATCTTTTGAGGCAAGACAGGATGTCCTCAACAAGTTAAGGGAACAGGATGCACTAAATATCTGCAACAGGTACAGCAAAACATCACATAGACACCCTTTTTTTTTCCTCTGTTCGGGACATAACACCACTGCGACCAGTGTTTTGATCTATTGTAGTATATCCCGTGTCCTTAGTTTAGTGCATGTCGTTTTACTCCATCACTATTGAGAAATGATGAAGTATTCGGTTTTGATACAGTTGTCATTCTTGCCTTCATCGCACGGAATCGATTCTAACTGAAAGGTTCCGCTATTTATACCCTTCGGAGTGTTGAAACACCCTCCAAAGACGCGCCCCTTTGTCAGTCAAAATTGGTTTCCTTAACAACAAAAACAAGCTATGAAACCGATAATGACCATGCATCAGAACCCTAGTCTTAACCACTTCAAACTAGGGAACAACGAATAGAAGATTAGGAATCACATAGATGAAGACTAACTATCTCATTTTTTCCTTGTTTCAAGATCATCCTCGGTCCAAGCAACCCGAGGACTTATCACTATCAACAAGGCATAAATTAAAATTTACCTTTTTGATTTTACGGTTTAGCGACTTTGCAGTCAATTTAATTGTTTATAGGAAAGTTTGAACATACTGAGAGGTAAGCACATATCATCGGTAACAGACGGGTGTGTGAGAAAATTTGCGAAAAAATCTAAGAGCACCGGTGGGATTAAAATTTACCTTACTGTCGACCGGTTTCGGGCGTGATGCTGCCCATCTACGGGACAATGTCCGACTGATTACTTGGATGTTCATACGTTGTTCCGTACACGTCCAAAAAGAAGAGAAGAGAAGCTACTGGATTCTCAGATTTGTCAGGTTGAAAAGGCAGGATATAATGGGGTGTTCATCTTCATTCATTAATGGTTCAGCAGCATTGGTGATGAATGATGATTCCCAGGCGTTTAGATGTGTAGTTTTTCTGACGGATTTAATGAGTTTTGCACCTTTCCAGTCAATGTTATGGTTTAAGCTAATTGTGTGTACTGCCACAGCTGATTCATTTGATTTTCTGTTGTCTACAGCATGTTTATGTTCCTTTAGGCGGACCTTTACTTTGCGGCGCGTTTGTCCAATATAGACTGAAGGACAATCCTTGCATGGAATTTGATAAATTCCAGACTGTTCATCCGGCGGAACTTTATCTTTCAAATTACACAACAGGTCACGCAAAGTGTTGTCGCTCTTGTATACTACCTGTAGTCCTTGTCGCTTGAGTGTGGATTTGATTGGATTCGTAATTTTGGGATAGAACGGTAGGCTGATTCTTTTTACTTCTTCTCCCATTGGTTCTAGTGTGGTTATATTTTGTCGGTGCTTCTTTCGTTTGTGTTTTCGGGGAATTTTGTCCACGAACTCCTTTTCGTACCCATTCACTTCAGCCGCTTTGTAGATACGAATTCTTTCCTCTGCAAACTCGTCATCCTCCATGGGTACATTGTAAACACGGTGTGCCATGGAGTGAAAAGCGGCTTGCTTTTGAGCTCCAAAGTGGTTGGAATCGGAAGTAATGTAGCGATCGGTGGACGTCGTTTTGCGATAAATACCAAATTTCAGGGTGTCGTCCTCCTTTCTGGTTATCATTAGATCCAGAAAGGGCAATTTCCCATCCACCTCTTTTTCTACCGTGAATTTTATTGAACTGTGCCGGGAGTTAAGTAGACTTACAGTTTGTTCTAAGTAGCGTTCTTTCACTGGTGCAAAAACATCATCTACATAGCGCCTCCAAACACGTGGGAAAAACTTGTGTTTTTCAGCATCGACTTCAAAGTCACTCATGAAGATGTTCGCCAGGAGAGGCGAAAGTTTGCTGCCCAACTTGGCTGAAAATAAAGACAACCTTAACAGATAGACCAACTACCTGCTTGAATTTGAATTTTGACGTAAAAAAATTCTCTTGATCAAGGCAACCTCTGAGTATCAAAGACAATTTGATTTTGTTCATTCGTGGCTGGATGGTCATTACCGCCTGTGTTGTTTATTAAAATTTATATTAAAATTTGTTTTCATCTTGGTGGGAATGATTCTGAGGATCAAATGCAAAATGATTATTTTCATTTTAAACAAATATAGCGCCGAAGAACGTATCGTGTTAACTTTTACACATAGATCGATGGAATAATCATTTTGCCCAAAATGTATTTGATTATTTTGCTTTTGAGGATCGTTACTGATTTTGAAAATTTTGGGATGGATAATCAAGCACTGGTGAATATCAACAAACGCGTACTCAATGATGAATAATGAACGCATTTGTTCGTTTCTCTCGTACATCACAGCGAAGATATTCAAAATGAACGTAATTCATCCACACTGGGTTGAAGCGCTTCTCCTTGCGTGTGATGGTAAATGATAAAAACAAACATCACACTAAACTACTAGAAGGCCAAGAAGAGCCGCCAACTAAAGCTTGAACCGGGTACCTAGGACTCCCACGATATACCCGCGGCAATGGTCAGCAGACGATGCCCTGTGTATGTAATATTTTTTATTTGGATATACAAAACGTTTGAAGCCATGTGTCATCAAAATCATAATTTGCATCACCGCAAATACATTTTTCAACAATCTTCAACTGGAACGTACTAACCAAATCATTACACCTGGGAGCGCATTCCCGATGCTTCCACGCATATTTTTATCTAGTCATCCACAATTCCTCCTCCAGCGACTCCAACCACACAACCAATATCACTTTGCTTTGCTTTTCTTTTTCACGTCACTCTGTGCACAAAAACAGTGCATATCGCAAAAACCTAACAATAGATCAGCGCGGTCGAGTCACACCGGCAACAAAGGGAAGCGAGAGCACATCAGCCAAAATTTAATTCTGATAAGCCTCCCAAAATTTGGCACAAACCATTTGAAGTTTTTATGGAAATTACTATGAGAGAACCAATTTTTTTCTAACAATTGGGTTCTTTAAGCGTATTGAGGTAAATGCATAATCGTAATCTGCATTAAAAATGGAACCCAAACCCAAAATTTCATCAATTTTGGTACACTGGAACTATTTTAAATTAGCGCGATTACATTTGCAAAAATCACCTTATTAGCGCCCCTCTGTGTCACTTTGTATTGGAGCGAGCTGTCAGTTTGTTAGTTTAGTGTCAAACAGTGAAGTTATTATTTTGCTTTAAATCTTGATTTAAAAATCGAGATGAAAGTGTGTGGGTTCGAAAAAAATATCGCTGTGCTCAGAAAACGAAGCTCTTTCAGATGATGTATAAAAACGATACATTTTTCAAAATTAAAGAACCCAATTCACCATATCGCTCTCCATTATAAAATTATATCTGTAGCTAGTAGGAAATTTCTCAGTTTGCTTTAGCGAATCTCCAAAATATTCAGATAAGCTTCGAAAACTTCAGCAAAGTTCCGAGGACTACATGAAAGTTCAGTACTTTGGGGGAGTTTAGATATCTTTAAGGGTACGGAAATGGTGACCTACATAAAGATCAGAGAACTTCGTGACAGTTGCAGCAACTTCAAGAGCTTTGCGAAAACTTCGAGAAATCTTCTTTCCATAAACATCATAAACATAAAGTTTTAAGAAGTTCCTGAAGCATCGGACATTTTTTAAATGTTTAAAGCGATTCTATTAATTAAAAAGTAACTGAACGAACTTTACAGATGCTCCAAGAACAACGTTCAGTTAACTTCAACGAACTTTTGAGCGTCATGATCATCGTGAAAATTACGGGGTCTTTAATGAAGTTTCCGATAATTTCAGTTAAATTCTGAAAACTCTATTCCATTAAGAGGAAGCTTACCGCCCCGAAAAAAATACTTTTCGATATTTCTAAAAAATATTAAAAAAAAAACATATTAAAAATCTAAAACCATCGGTTCTTTTCTTTTTTTTTTATGTACGTGAAAAACATTTTTTCTAGGTCATCATTTCAAAAAATAGGACTCAAGAAACCACACTATTCTCAACCTTTCGGTTTTGATTAACGCCCAACTTTTTTTCATGAGATGGAAAAAAAAATTAAATTTGCTCAGGAATCTAACAAAAAACCGATTTTCTATGATTTTCTGGATTGGATTCTTTAAAAAAAAAATTACACGTAAAAGTAGTTTTTCTATCTCATCATGAAAAAAGTTGGACTCAATATCTCAATAAAAATGTTAAAATCTCAATAAAAATGTCTGAAGTTTTACAGAAGCTCCAATAAATTCAAGGAAC